TGAAGAAGAAAATGGAAAATAAAAAAAATAAAAAATGAAAGTTGGAGACGAGCGAGATACGATATGCCTTTTGGTGTTATTGCAGCCAAGTGCATACCTTTGATGGGAATCAGCATTTGTATTTGTGTTTGTATTTTTTTTTCCGAAGAAAATGTGTGTTTATTGTCTTTTTTTTTTTCTTTTTTGTTGTGTGTGTGTGCGTTCTTTGATGCATGACGTGGTGAAGTTGAGAGTAGTTTTCAGTTTTGTCTTCGTTTTTTATTCTCTATCTTTTTTTTTACTTTCTCTCTCTCTCTCTTTCTGTGTGTGTGTGTGTATGAAAACCCACACACACCTCTCTTCTTGCCGATACGGTGTCGTTTGTTGGGCTGTGCCCAGTCAGCCACGAGCAGACCTTGGAGTGCGGGTTGGGGTAGCCGCGTCAATTTTCAACGCCTTTTCGTCACCCTCTTCTGGTGCTCTTGTCTTGCTGTGGGAGCTGGTGGCTGCATGGAGGTCTCAAACGAAGTGAAGAAAACAAAAAGCTGGTTTGTCTAGTGGATCCGTAGTTTCCCGTTGGTGTAAGCTTTTTTGCGATCTTGCCGAGAGAGAGAGAGATGGCTTTCCTTCTGCTTTTGTTTCTTCTGCCTCTTCTGTTATTTCCACTTTGGTATGGACACAAGTAATGGAGTTGCGGCGGCGCGGTTTCTCCCATTGACAGTTAAAGGCGCCTTTGCGGTTGCACGCTGCTGTACGTGGGGCGAATCATGTTGGCTTCTTACTGATATTTTTTTTTTTGTATATATATTTATATGCTTGTGCTTTGTTGGTCTCGATCATGCCTCACACACTTAGTAGAAGGCTTGGCGGCAAGCTGCCAGTCCTTGCAGTCCTATGGACAATCCCCTCGTTGCCCCCGACTCGTCTCCAGTCACATTCACAGTTTACTCAAATTGCGATACGTCGCTCCCAGCCGACTCCGTTAGCGTGAATTTTGGCCAAGTGGTGCTTTCAGACATAATGGCAGGGGACCATTGTGAATGCAACGATGGGGACCTCGAAAACGCAGAGGAGGACGTGTGGTCGGTGCCACCTGGGGACGCCCAGGCCACGCAAGAGTGTGGCTGGAATTCCAAGTATAACCCAAAGAAGAATGCACTGTTGTGTATTCGAGAGGAAAACGCCACGGCTTTCCTTCTAAAGGAGGAATATATCGCTCGTTGCCTCTTGGAAGTGGAAGAGGTAGGTCAGCGCGGTCTACTCTCGAATGCAATTCAATGGGAACTTCACACGCTGTGTGGTTGCAACGCAGGAGTTATGAGAGATAACGGGCAAACTGGTCCGTTGTCTCACGCCCAGGCCTCCAACCCTGTCTTTGATACCACCGCTAACGATAATGAGTTGTTTTTGCGAAACACACGGCTCAGAAGCATTCTGGACGATGAGGCGTTCACTCCACTGGAGAAACTCTTGCGTGACAGTTCTCCAAACGCACCACCTCCATCGAAACTCAACAACCCTGCAATTGGTGGGGCGTACGCCAACATCTACGAACCACCCTCCGGAGTGATGGGGTCCGTGCCGGCACAGACGCCGTCAGGTACATTCAAAGTTGGTCTGCGGGCAAAAAACGTTCCACAACCGTCATTTTCAGAGGCTGACCCCAGCTATTTGTCCTCTGGGCGTTTGCTTGAAACGCAGCGGCATCAGCTGGAGATGGAGCGTCGTTTGACACGGCGAGAACGCGACACCTTGGAGCGGGCTCTAGATGCGCGTTACAAATGCATTCAGTTTCCCCCTGACACCTACGCACAGTTGCGTTATGAGCCCTCGAACGTCTTTTCACGTGAGCGCCAACTCATTTTGGGCTCCCTTGGCATCTCTGATCCTAAGGCGTCTCAGACTGATGCCGCGACACCATTGCAGGAAGAAAGCAAAAAGAAACACATTCAGCAACAGCAACAAAAACAGCAGAGGGTGCAGTCACAGGTACATAAGGAAGGAATTCCCAGCGCTGGGGTGTCGCCCATCTCGTCCCACACATTTTTGTTTTCTCCCAGTCCCTCGAAGGTGATGGAATCGAAACCGGATCCAAAGGGGGCAGCCCTCTTTTCTGAGGCATGCGAGGCTAAATACAAGGAGGGTTTGACAGCCATGAAGGAATTACTAGACCTTTATCAAACGTTTATAAGGACACAACCACAACCAAACCCAGCGCCTTCGGCATCACAGAGTGATGTTAGCAATTCTTTTGGGAATGAACCAACGACACCTTCTACGATAACGTACGAGAAACGTCTGGCTCGTATCAAGCGTCTCTACCCCTCCACTGGCACCAACGCGAGTGTGGTACATCAATACAGGTGTCTCCTGCGTACACCACCCTTGCCGCCGTCGTTGGGACTCCCAACTGTTCCTGGTGACATTGGTCAACATTATGCGAATGCACCAGTTAAAGGGTACATGATACCGTTTCAGGCGTCTAGTACAGGTGCCAGTAACACGGGAACGACACATGAGAGTGGATTATATGAATATCATTTACTCCCTGTTAATAATTCTTGTACAAGTGGCAGGAGTGTGGTTAGGCAAGAAGCTCAGCTGAAACCTTTTATAGGGAGTGAAAATGACGGGGACCATGACACGTTGAACATTCAATACTCTGATACAATGTTGCCGCCGCATCGTCGTATTATAACTCCCCCAGTCCCTTCCTCCAGGGAAGGGCAAATCTCCACCAGTAAAGTTTCCGTTACCTGGCCAGTCCTTCGCTGGGACGCAGAGCGCAGTGAAAATGTTTGCATTTCGCAGAATGGAACCACATGCGTAGCGGATGTGTCAAGGGCCCTTCAGTTGAGTGCCACTGAGAAGGAGCGAACGGGCAAGGCGCTTCCTTCTGCAAAAATTGCAATGTTTGCGCTTGGAACAATTGGTATTGCGGAGGGTGAGTTTATTTTTGAGGTTCGGATTGATGCACGGCCTTCTTTAACGCATACGCCGCAAAGTCTTTTTGCGGTTGGCGTGACCACGAAGTACTACCGAGGTTCAAATCAGAGAAGTCCAGCCTATTTATTCCGCTCCGATGGGACACTTGTGTCTCACTCTGACGATGAAACAAGGGTTCCTTACGGCTCTTCTTACAATTCAGGCGCCCATATTACCGTTTATTTGAGTTTAATTCAAAAGGAACTTTGCTTTTTCCTCAATGGAAAAGCATTGGGTGCGGCATTTAGGTTTAGAGGGGTGGAGGACCCGGAGCCGTTGTTCCCACTCGTTGTCTTGGGAGATGAAGGTTGTAGTGCAACCTTTGTTCCCCCTTCACAACTGCTTCCTCAAGTGAGTTCCTCAGCGCGTCAAAGCATGCGCCCTGTGAGGTCTCATTAGTTGTATCGTTATTACTCTTCACTGCATCCCTAGCTCCTTTTATATGCGTTTGTTTTTGTTGCTATATATCTGGAGTTGGAAAATGACTATTATTATTTAGTTTGCTGCCCATATCGTTTTTTTTTTTGCCAGTGCCAAGCATACACTGCGTCTAGTAGAGGTGGCGTTTGGATTTTTCTTTTCTCCTTTTCCACCTTTCTTTCGCGTATTTTTATTTTTTTTTTATTTGATGTGTTGTAATGTTAAGCCGGCCAGATGGCAGAACTTCACGTCATTGGAGATCTGATGTGCGGGGAGGATTTTGGAAGTAATAGTTACTTTTGCGTCTTCGAGGTCGTCGCCGGGGAGCATTGGAGCGCCGTGGAGGGTCGCACCTCCGGATGCACGCACGTCATGCATGCCGGCGAGGAGGGTAATGTCTCGTGGAGTTTTCCTATAGACATTCATTTTACAATGAACAGCATAGAGGGTTGGCCCAAAATATCGTTGCAGGTGTGGTCTGTTGATAAGTACGGCCGGAAGGATCTGGAGGGCTACGGTGTCGCCTTTGTGCCACCGCCTAGTGTAGACGAGCAGGATGTTGTGGTAGAGACATGGAGGCCGTGCTACTGGAGTCCGAGCTTTTTCAGACGCCTCTATGAGAATCTCCGAGTTGCCATATTGGGCGGAAACCCGGTGCTGCGCGATAAAGCGCTTATACACACCAACGATGAACGGTTCAAATTACGGACGAGAAGCAGTGGAAGAGTTATTCTTCAGTTAAATGTCATTTCAAGAGGAATGCATAGGTTGGGGATTCGATACAGCTGAGAGGTCGGGAGGGCGGAGTGACCGATAGAGCGATGGTGAGACAAGCGAAGGGTCAGCAGCTCCTTCTTTTCGTTGCCTTTTATTTTAGTTGCTTGGATGGGTACTGCGTTCGCTACAACTGAAAACAAAGTTAAATAATAATTTATTGAATTACTGCAATTGTTCGCCCATTGCTGTATACATTGAAGCTTATTATTTTTATTACGTTTTTTTTTGTTTTTGTTTTCCTACTCACTAATATATATGTCGCATATGCACTTTTATCTTGTTAGCGTCCTTGTCGCTAACAGTGAATGGCCAGTAGCACGGCTGCGGCCCGTCCCACGTGGCACGGTGTGCGGTTTTTTGTTAGCGCGGATGTGCTTTTGACATTCAGCAGTGTGAAGTTGTCAGAAATGGCGGGGGTGCCAGGGCAGCCCCAGCGGCGCATAACCGTGATAGATGGCAAAGCCGTCCCTGTGATGTCCTACCCGACCGCATCCTTCTTTTTGAAGACACTGAAGGCTACTGGAAATTCGGTCGTTGTGGTGGCGCCGTGGAAACAGGAGCAAACGGCGTCTCTTTTGCGGTTGTTTGGATGGGACGCGGTTGACGATATCCGCGTCGTCTTTCCGGAGCCTGGGCAAGAGGCATTTCGCTTGTCTTGCCTGGGTTGTACGCTTGAGGAGTACCGTATCGCCGTGGTTGTGACAACGTCACGGACGTTGTGGCATACAGCACTGTGGTCGCAGGTTGTGGAGGTGACGCATGAGTTGAGTTGCCCATCCCGATCCCTCGCCCTGTTGCGAGCGCTTTCCAGTTGTCTACGCATTGCCGAGTGCCGCGTGCGCTTTCCATCCACCGCAGTTTCTTCCTGTGTCGCGCTCTGTCGAGCACGTCTGTTCTCGCAATACCGTTTTTGTCTCTCGCCAGAGGTCATGGACCAGTCGTCAACTGCGATGTTGATTAATGCACACGGTGGGTATTTAGTCACCAACTGCGCGGATGCGACGCACTACGTCGTTGGCGAGGGGAACAGCGCATTATCTTGCACCTTACAAAGGCCTGGGCTGTCGCATCAGGACGTGGAAAAAGACGCCTCCTCAGTCTCTGAGAGTTCCAGTGCTTCATCTTCCTCCTCGCTGGAGTTGGTTGAGGTTGAGAGGGAAGGTGACGGCTCTTGGAACAGCAGCTTCAAGGACGACGACGACGATGCGGAGGTGTGGGATGACGATAACAGTAACGATTACAATGCGGGAGACAACAACCAAGCCCTTAATGACGTGATGCCGTCGTCCGTGGCGACAACTCAAGCCACAACAATAGCGGGCGTTTTAGACGATCCGGTGAGTTCACTTTCTGCTTTATCCACTGTCAATGGGCACCGGGAGGCGGGAGAAACCGGCGAAGCAGCCTCTGCCGCGACCTCAACTTCCTCCACGACGACGACGGCGACAGCAGCAAGCACTGTCACTGTTCAGTGGTTGCAGGACTGCATCGAGGGGCTCCTGGTGTATCCACACCAAGTGGCACACTCCAGCAACGGCAGCTCTCAATGGAACATTTCTACATTATTATTGGCTGCACTTATTCCTCCTCCAGATGTGGAACCTATTTCTTTATCTTCTCTAAATAACATCGCGGAGGGTCTTGGATTTCGACCACTTCTGTTACCTCAAACGGAGGGCGAGGTAAATTTGGCAACCGTGCTTCAGAAGCAGTGGGGAGCCATGCTGCATGTGAAGGTGCACAGTGAGGAGCTGTTTCTGCGGCAGTCCGCCACTCCTCCAAATGAGGGTGGACTGGAAATGGAACGACATTTGGCCTGTATTGCCAAGCAGTTTTGCGATGCATGGACTATAGCGATTCGTAATAGTCGACTTCGCAACATGGCTGAGTCCGGTACACAAACGGCAGCAGTGCTTACTGCAACTTCTGAGACAAATACAGACGCAGTATTGGTTAACGCGGAGGAGCCTAGTGTAGATCCACCAGCTCAGGGTCGAGCACTCTTAATGCGTGCGTTGGGCCCTGCGGAGTGGGCGAAGGAGGTTGACGCATCTCATGTTGCACCCAAGGAGCTGCGGGTTACAGAGAAACCGGTTTCGTTGGAGCCTTTTACTACCTTGGCACTGGTAAATGAACCACCCACAGGGTACGACACCCCACCGGAGGATAAAGAGGTGCCGACTAGCGACGATGAAAAGATACCAACTGCGTTTGCACAGCGTGCCAGTGAAACTGAGGCGGAAGTCCCAGCAGTTGATCTCAAGTCGCAACCACAGAGTGATGAAAGGGAATTTGTGATGTGCTTCATCCCCACCGAAGCGCTTGGGGATGAGCAGAATGCGTTGAAGGTGGAACTTTTGCTGCGCCAGCCGCCCTTCAGGAATTACCCGATGAAACTTACAATTGGCAGGAAAGGCATTCATTGCCTTTTTGTCACCACCTTTGATGCGAAACGGTTTCACCAAGAGGGATACGCTGAGGTGCGTAATCGGTTTCTCCCTATTCTGCCAGAGTACGGGGAGGGGAGCTATTCGTCAAGTGACACCCGTAAGCGGCGTCGCAGTCGCTCGCCTGTCAGCAAGCGTTCGACCAGCAGCTCATCACGAGGAACCCGCAAGCATTCTCTTTCCTACACTCCCGACTCACAGTCGCACCGGAGTGCTTCTGGGGTAGAAAAGCATACGGATAAAATAAGTGACAGTACGGAGTTGTCGAAGGGCGACCTCGAACTATTAGGTGAAATTGGGGCAACCCTTGAGTTTGCCTGTCAGCATGTGGATGTGGTGGAGCGCTACGCCGTTAACGAGCTCGCCGACCCGGTGTTCCGCAAGCAGCAGCACCAGTTGCTGCGTGTGGTAGATAAACTGAAAAAGATGCGCTAAAGTGGGGCTTGGACGACTGCAATGAACGGAAATACCCCAGTGAATATCAAGAGGGAGCTGGTGTGCGCTTTTTGTTTAAAGCTTGCGTTGATGGGAGAGAGGAAGCAAAAGAGAAAAAGAAAGAGAAAGGTGTGATTAACAGCGGTACATCTACAACAGATACAATAATATCGTTCCGTCGTGTGCGTGTTTTTTATTATTATTTGCCTTCTGTTGTAGTCTGTGAGATGCTTTGGAATCCGTTTGCCGGCTGAAGCTATTCCACATGGTTTTCTTGTTTTTTTTTTTTTTTTGGGTTTCTTTCTTCTTCTTCTTTTCCTTTGGAGAACAGCGTCACCAATGTCTACCGTTGATGCGGATGCGAATTCAAGTCCCGATGATGCCGGCTATGCTGTGTCTCCTGTTGAGGAAAACGCCAACGAGTGCCAGGAGGGGAAACAAGAAGAGGAGGCCCTGCCGCCGCGTGGAGGAGGTCTCACCTTCGATGAAAAGAGGGCTGGTTTAATTGTCTTGGGCTGCTTTCTCTTTCAGGAGGCTGATAGCAGCGCATTTCGCACAATGTTGGTGGCGTCTGTTGCTGCGTATGCCGTCTCAAAATTATTCGTCACTTCCTTTGTTACTCTTTCCTCCTCCAAAGCTGAGTGATAGGTGCTGAGGAGAGGGTCTATGAGGGTGGATGGACGGATGCAAGGCGCACAGGCGTTTACGATGTTGTCTGCTGTTGTTTTGCCCCTTTTTGCGCTTTGATGGGTATTAATTGTTCCTGTTTTCTCTCCTACATATTTACACGTGTGTGCAGCATTTTCTGTTCCTTTCATCCTTCCTTTCTTTCTTGCCTCTGTGTTGGAGAGTAACGACTGGGCGGTGTGCGTGCGTCCACCGGTGACTCGACATCTATGACAAGAACATATTCCCCAAACGGGTTATGCTGCTTTCTTCACTCCCCCTTGTTTTTTGTTGTTTCCGCTGTTGTTGTGTTTGCCGTTCTTCTCACCTCGGCACTTGGACATTGCCCAGAAACGGGGGGTGGGAGGGGCAAGGACAAAACCGTCTGAAAATAAAAACCAACAACAACAAAAAACACGTCCATGAAAACCATTGCCCTCATATCCGGTGGCAAAGACAGCCTCATCTCCGTGCTGTTGGCAATGCGGTATGGACATACACCTGTCGTGGTGGCAAACATCTGTCCTACATGTAGAGATGGACCTGAACATGTGCAAGAGATTGACTCTTACTCCTTTCAAACGGTGGGTCACGAGGCTGTAGAGTCTATAGCCGGCTGTATGGGACTACCTCTTCGCCGTGCGTACATTCGCGCTGGTCAGTCAAAGGTGCAGGGGCTTTACTACACGAAGCAACGCGACGACGAGGATGAGATTGAAACGCTGTATCGTCTGCTGCGCGCCGTTAAGGAGGAATTTCCAGAGGTGGAAGGTGTCACCACGGGCGCTATTTTGTCCCACTATCAACGTTATCGTGTGGAGGATGTATGTGACCGTCTAGGACTTCACTCGCTTGCGTTTCTTTGGCAGCGTCCTGCGGAGGAGGTTCTCGACATAGCTGCCGCATTACAGGTGCACGCGATTCTTGTAAAGACAGCGTCTATTGGACTCGACCCTAGAATCCATGTTGGTTTGTCATTGGAGGAAGTGCGTCCTGCACTGGAGAAGGCGCAACGATTGTACGGGACACACAGTGCGGGTGAGGGAGGCGAATTTGAGACTATTGTCTTGGACTGCCCCCTCTTCAGCGAGCAGTGCCTGGAGGTTGTGTCGCTTGAACGGGTTATTGTGGATGACAACGACTACTCTCCCTCTGGTTATGCGCGCCTCAAGGTGAGGCGGCGGCGAAAGACAGCGGCAGAAATGGCCTCGTGTAGAGAGCTGCTGCTGCGGCTTCCGACCCTGATCTTTCCTTCGGACAGAATGCTTCATTTGCCACATGTTGATCAGTTTCTTAAAGAGTGCGCAGAAACGCTTGAATGGAAAACACGCCCAATGCCATTCAGCACTGATACAGAGTTTTGGGGCCGCAGCTGCTGCGACATCTACGAGAGTGAAGTTTGTCAAACCGAGGACGAAGTAGAGACTTGCGTCATGCATGTCTTTCAACAAATCGTCGAGGACATGTTGGAAAAAAGTCGTGAAGTATTCTTTATGTTGGTGTTTGCTCCGTCGTTGCAGTCCTTTGAGGCTTTCTGTGAGGCGTTTGCTCGTTGCTTTCCCCAGCTTCAACTGCCTGGTTGTGCGTTTGTTGCGGCGTCGGACCGAAGGGGCTTTCATCTGGAGGTGCTTTCTTATTCTCGAGAGAGCATTCAACGGGCGACACTGCAAGTACGAAGCAGTAGTTGCTGCGGACCCGTGTCTGTGGGCCCACAATCTTTTGCTAACCGTGTTAATCTCAACGCCGAACGCCGCGTGATTGTGAGTGGCTGCATTGGCTTGGTGCCTGTGGCACAACGTTTGGCGGTGACTGAGGACATGCCGGAGTTGTTGAATGTGTCGTTTTTACGCCTCTCACAGATTATTGGGTTAGAGGAGGGTGCGGTGAGAGCATTTATCGTCCAGTTTGCTTTTACGTACGCGAATAGTGTGATTGGGCTCACGCACTTTGGTGGTGGGGCCACATTCGCCACGCATGCAACTTTTTTCCTGAGAGACATGCGATTCGCACCGTTGGTGCCTTCCTTGTGGAGGTGGTGCACCGATGACGAGACGAAGCTTTTGCCTTGGGGGGACTCGTGCGTGTGTGGTGAAGCGGGTGGTGTGTTGTGCCGCATCTTTCACGCGACGCAGCTCCCATTCTATGCGGTGGTGGAACTTGTGCTGGAACGGCGCGATTCTCTTTTAGAAGAGGAATGATAAATATAAAGCACATACTTCTATTAAAGCTACATGCACAACAAAACATTACCAGTGTGTGCGTGTGTGTGTCTTTGTGTGTCTGTGTATTTCTCCTTCCCACCTCACGTTTACGTTTAGCACGAAGCGAGGTGGTGTGAACATCTGCACATTTGGCGAAGCGGGGAATATAATTATTTCTGCATGCCTGTGTGAAAAATAAATAAATAGGTCTTCTATACGAACCAGTGAAGAGAACAAATGCATGTAGATATCTGTACGTTTATGAAGCGGATATGATTTCCGGTGTGAGATGTGTATTGTTTTTAATTTGCGTCTTCTTCGCTCCTGCGCATACGCACATGATAGAGAAATTTTAGGTTGTTGTGGTGCTAACCTGCAAAGTACTTGTCTAGTTTAAATGAGTTACGATTACATATTTGTGTACGTAAATGGGGAGAAAATGGGCCTTCTTGAGGATGGGAGGCTTGCGTTGTATCAACGCTTCCCCGAGGGGTCTGTGCTGTACGACCCCAGCGATCTGCCGCCCCGTGAGGTGCCTATTTCCAGCGATGCTGCGGAATACGGTGTGACGGCCTCTAAATTGGTTCCGTACAGCCACTATGAGGCGTACCTCCCGGACCCCGTCACAGGTGAGTTGCATGCAATTACCGGCGAAAGCGTTTGTATCTACGTGACAAATCTTCCCCCAAACACAACGGCAGTAATGCTGGGACGGTTCTTTGAGGCATTGGACATGATTGTAGAAGCGGATGTCTTCACAACACCGTCGGGGGAATGCACGGGAAGAGGCTGGGTGGTTTTTCAGGACCCCTCAAAACTACTACTGGTCCCTCCCGTGCTGGAGTTTTTTCCGCATGTATTCATTTATACCGCTCTTAGCGACAAGGTTCCTGCGCGGACGATACTTACAACATCTTTTTTTTCAGCGATGCTGCATCCTTGCGCCGACGTTGTTACTGCCGCTGAACCCAGGCTCAATTATGCTCGCGATGGCAGCCATAGGAGGATCAATGGCAAAGCATCCGGAAACGTGCCCAGGCCGCCATCTACGCTGGCTTCATTAGTGGCCAATAGAAGTTCATACTACTTTGTTGCCTTTATTCGGAAGGATGAAGTTGAGAGATCGGTGAAAGAAGGCGTGTTTTGGACGACTTCGGCGAATCGAAGTGCCTTTTACTCAACGCTGGATAGAGGACCTGTGATTATCATATTTGTGCTGCGGGAGTACCCGGCCATATTTGGCTACGCGTTTTTGCTTCCACCGGGGAACCATGACACGGACGGCACATCGGCTTGCCCTGTAGAATGGGTGAAACATCATGTGTTTCTGAAGGAGCACGACATAATAACAATTCCAAGTATACCAATATTCAGAATGGGTGATGGTGTGCCTTTGAAACCGGAGATTGGCGAAAGCATATGTCAATTGGCAGAGCAGTACCCATCTCTTCCCGCTGTGCCAGAACGATTAGGTCAGCCGCCGCCCAACAACGGCCGGCATTTGGGGCGTGGTGGCGGCATTGTCGCTCTTGGCGGCAACAAGGCGGACTTTGGTGGCTTTAACGCTGTGGATGGTGGGGGCGTCGTTCACCCAATCGGCGATAGAGAACCATTACTGCCCGGCGTTAGCACAATGTCGCCGCCCTACCCACTGGGAACACGTCCGCCCACAAGAGGCGGTCATGTGATGAATGGTAGGATTCCCCCACGGCGGCGTTCATACAATGATCATCCCAACGCCTACTCAGGCTACAGCGGTGGTAGTCTGCTCCCGCGAAAGGTGTAGTTTCGAAACCTGATTTTATTTATGTTGCTAACATTACAAGGAGTCTTGTTGGGTTGTTACAGTCTCTATGACTGTTTTTCTTCAACGCCAATAATACGGAAAGAAGCAGAAAAACAAAAAACCAAAAAAAAAACAAAAATTAAAAGAATGGGGTAGAGGAAGAAGGCCAAAGGCATTATTACTATCATTTTTTTTTATATATATATATTTTTTTTGCGTGCCCTGCTCACCTGGAGTATGGGGCATGGGGCGCTGCTTGCTGTTTGGGCGGTTTACCTATTTGTCTGCCTTTTGCACGCTTTCAGAGCCTCCTTCCTATCACTTTTATTGGGGAGCGATACGGTGTTTATTATTATTTTGCTTCTACTTCTTCAACCACAGAACTCTGGCATAGCTTGTATATATATATATATATATACATATATATCGATGTCTGCGCAGGTGTATACATGTAATAAGCATGTGTGTATGAGTGTTATTTGCAAGGACTTTTTTTTGTCTTTGTCTTTGTTTGTTTGTTTTTTTCATTTTTTTTTTTTTTTTACATTTGCATGCTATTATGTATTTCCTCTCACTAACCATCTTCTAAAGCTCTCACCCAAAGACTGGCGTGAGGAGGAGGAGGAGGAGGAAGGAGACAAGCAACATCAACGGTGATAATAATAATTGTAAAATAATCAAACATCTCTTGTGTCTCAGAATGCCTTAGGCTCTTGTGGCTTACCCAATGACGAACACCATCCTTTTTTCCCCCTTTTTTTTAAATTTTGCGTGTGTGAGTGTGTGTGAGTGTTTTGTTGTCGGTGTGGCAGAGGGAAACTATCAATGAGATGTTGATAGCCTTTTTTCCACCCCCCCCCCCCCTCTTGCTTTTCTTTGCCTTCCGTTTTGTTTTTTTTTTACCTTTGGCTTCTCTTTCTTTCTTCCTCGTGGAGGACCCGTGAGTGCAGAGAGATTATTCTACATTAGTTGAAGGCTTTTCTTTTTTTCTCCCCGATCTGCTACGCGGCGTCTTGTCTCATTGCTGCGCACGAATGTGGGGCCCCATGGCGGCGGCAGCGGAGGAGGAGGGGTCGGCATTGTCGTGTGAGGAGACGCAGTCGCATCGCGCACACAACATTGCCATCACCACCGCCTGTGGCGCGGAGTACTCTCATGGTTCTTCATGTGGCGACTTTGGCCACATTTTGAGGGCCGCCCACATCAACTTCAGTCATGTGAACCCCGAGGCCTCTTCCAGCACGGCGACCGGGATGGTGCGGGATCCGCTCTCGCCAGTCGTTGACCACCTTACGCAGGGTCTCTTGCCCTCCAGCCTGGGCTGTCCGAGGTGTGCGCAGATTAACTCCATTCGGGAGTCCTTAAAGAGTGTCGAGGCATCGTACCTGAGAGAAATTGCCCAACTGGGGCGAGTGGTAGAACAGATGGACGCGGAACGTGTGGATGCGGTAAACCGAAGAGAGCAGACACTTTTAGCGCTCGACCGCAGTAGGCAACTCAATCTATCGAGGGAGTGCGAGATACAGTCACTGAGTGGTCAGTTACGACAGATGGAGGATGAATTGCAACGCTTGGAATACGAGCTGGCCTCCCTACGTCAGCTTTACAGGCGTGACGTGGCGTTCTACCACCGACGAGAGGTGCTTTGTTTCTTGGAGAACGAGCGATGCGCCCGGGCGGCAGTATCCTCTTCGGAGGCTGGCTGGCATTCCGCACTTGAGGCAAGGTACTCGAGTGTTCTGGAGATGCATCGAAAGCGGCATTGTTTCGATCCATCTCAGAGCGTTGAGAGGTTGAGGTCGCCTCGTCTGAGTGAAGGGCGCCGTTTCATGCGTGACGCCCGTCAATAACTTCGGCCCACTCTCTCCCGCCATCCATCACCCGCTGCGTTGATAAACATGGAGGCGGTGGCACTGGTGGTGGTAGCATAACGCCTAGCGAAAAAGGAGGACTTTTGACGGAGCTGTGGCAGGCCAAGGAAACGCTGAACGAACACAATAAGAAACTGCAACGTGACTTGAGGGTGAAGGAGGACCAAATTGCGTCGCTACAGCAACAGCTGTCCCTCCGAGCGGAAAGTCAGGTGCAGTCTTCCCAGGATCGTGCGGATGGGGACAGTTTTGCACAGGAAATGCAAGAGGAGATTGATGACATGCTTCAGACAGAACTTTTGCTAACACAAATGTGTGAGCGACACCGCTTGGAGGCCGAGGCGATGGAGGAACGCGTTTATTTACTGCAGTGGCTTCACCAACAACAAAAGCAGAAGCAGCATCCACATGACTTGCCACCGCAAAAGCAACCCCTTTATTCTGCTAATAGAACACTGGAAAGGCAGGGGTCACCAGAACTGCCTTGGACGCCACCGCATTTTCTTTATGCCAAAGAAAATATTGGACTGGACGTATACGTCAACGGCGGGAGTGACTCTCAGTTGCCCTGTCAGAAGCAGCCGCTTGATGAGTTGTGTGCTGCTGTTTCCGGGGCGTTGTCAAAGACACTAGAGAGCGTCCTTCATGACCAACTACTTCCGTTTAAACGATCTGTGGAGTCTCTTCGCTCAAGTGACGATGAGCTTTGCAACAGCCTCAAGAAAGTCGTACAAACTATGCTGCACGATGGACACGACAATGTGATGCATGCCACGAGAATAAATGAGAGGCAAGAAAAATTTATTGGTGATATGCAACGCATTCTACAAGAGTTTTACGCTGCAAATTTACCACAAACACATGATGGGCTTACATCCCTCCGCGAGGCTCTAAAAAAAGTGGCACGCTTGACGTCCCACAACGCCAAGGTCATGGATGACAAATTGAACGATATTCTTACCTCGATGTCCGCGGTAGCCAGGCAGCTGACGTTCCTGACCATTCCATCGATTCAGAGGCGCACTGATGCGTCTCCGACTCTGAGGTGCTCTGCCGCTGTCTCGTTATCCGCTGTGGACTCTGGCCGCTTGGACGCAAGCCCAAATACTCTTTTGGGCTTAAAACGAGTTCACGCTGAACTCGTGGACTCGGACGCGGCTCCACCGGAGCATACAGGTGCCAGTGCGCCGGTTGCTGTACCGACGCTGCCATCTCATGAGTGGGATGTGATGGACTCTGATGATGAATCAGTTCCTTCACTGCCTGCTTTCTCCACTGCACGGAAGACGCCGTACGATGTGGATGATTTGTGAGGCAGGCCAGAGGCGACCGCCCCCCACCGACGTCCCTTGTTTGGTCTGTTTATTATTATTCTTGTGCTATGATTTGTTTTTGGACCCCCTATCATGCGTTGGGTGACGCCTTTCAAAACGCGTTGTTGTTGTTTTGCGTATGGCATACATATGGAAGTAAGAGGGGTCTACAGGTTGGTAAGTTCATTTTACTTATCTAGTTGTTTTGGTATGCCTATTTTATGCATTTTATTGAATGCGACGCGAACCATAGAATATTTATGCGCGTTTTTTTTTTTGACTGGATCTAGAGACGAATACCGGGCTTTATTTTTCCCCACCCTCTTCTTTTTTTTTTTCCTTTGTGCTTGACCGTTTTCTATTGCCTTTTTGTGTGTATTTGGTTCACCGGAGTCTCCTCTCATCGTTTCCCCCATTTATTTTGTTTCACTCGTATGATGCTATTTATCCGTCTTTTCGTTTGGGGGGGGGGGGGGGTATTCATCAATACCCTTTTTTCTCTTTGTCGTGGATGTCCCTTGTAATTGGAAAGTGAAAGAAAGGAGTTTTTATTTTATTGAGGGAGAGTGCGGACCGTGCGGCGATGCTCGCTGGCAGTAAGAGGGGGAGAGATGAAGATGAGGGCGACAAGGCGTTGGTAAGAGAGGTTTCCGCTGCAATTCAGAGCATGGCTGCAGAGACAGAGGACATTGTGAGTAGTGTGGGGAAGGTGAATGGCGCGGTGTTGGATTCACTGTTACAGCGGTCTCGGCAAGCGGAAGATGCGCTGAGCGCCGCCGGTGGATCTGTCGCGCAGTTGTGGAAATTGGTTGTGCAGGGTCAACAGGGCAGAGCCGCCAACGCATTGAGCTGCATCGCCGTCTCCGATGATGCGCATCGAAAAGGTCATCGCATAGCCGCGCTTCAGCAACAGCTACTGAACTCCGCCTCCTTAGCCGCGGAGGAGGTGTCAAGTGGACTGAGCAAGGCCCATGAGGCGACAGTCGCCTTGTTCTCCTCCCAACTAGCTGGGGAAAAGGAAACAAACGAGAAGCTTGTTTTGCGCGTACGAGAGTTCCTGCAGCATTCACTTGAGGCCATTCAGTCGTATTCTTGCCGTGCAATGGAGGCGGAACTCTCGCTGTTTAAGCGGAGTGTCTCCGTTTCCCGCCTCCAAAGTCTTCTTTCATTCTATCAAAATGCGTCGCTGCGCCACCACGAGGAGGTTATGGCGCTCATCAAAATTGTTCGCATTCTCGCCGAAAAGAGCAAAGATGTGGATCTCGCCGAAACCAAGTTGCGTCAGTCCAAGGCGCACGTGAGGCTTTTGGAGAAACATCTGGAGCTTTCGGGAGTCGTTCAGGCAATTGTGCCACCCAACTTTGTGCCTCCACGTCAAGCCACAGAGCCACCGAGTGAAGCGTTGAGACGGACCGCGCCTGAATACTTCGCCCTTCGGCTTTTGGAACATGAAGACGTAACCCTTTCGGAGCTGGTGGACTCTTGGCAGAAGCAGGAGGCACGCATCGCAGTGGCCGAGGAGAAGTATCGGACGTTGGAGTTATCAGTGGAGTCACTTCGTCGGGAGGCGCTGACGGTGCAACAGGGCTTCCTTGAAGAGAAGCGACGGCGGGAACTGGTGGAACAGCGCTTGGTTGATCTTGTGCGTGAGAGGATTCGTCCCAGCAAAAACGATGCTCTAGTGCAACAACTCACTCTGCTCCGAGCAGACCACACAAAGGCACTTGATGACTTGGCTCAAATGGCTACCTTGCTTGGTGTTACGCGGGAGCAGTTAGCTTTGGAGCAGCAGCGAAATGTGTCACTGGAGACAAAGTTGCAGCAGATACAAGATGATTCGGCGAACGATGTGGTGGCGCACACCTTGGCTTCGCTTCGCCACTATTACGAGGAAGAACTTGAGCGTTTACGAAACGGATTGGTGGAAGCTGAGACACAGAGTGCTGTTGCAGTGGCGTCTGCGGAGGCACAGCATAAGGCATTGGAAACCGCACACAACGCCCTGATGGTCACAGAGCAGACCGTAATGGACATGTCTGCCACGCTGCAACGTGTAGAGAATCAGCTGTGTGTTGAAAATCCAAAGGGCGGCGGTGTGGCCTCGGGGCAGGTTGTGGAAAATGCTGAGAAGATACTGGCACAGAGTGAGGCGCAGCTAAACCAGGCAATGTCAGCATTTGAAAAAGTGATGAAGGATGCAGAGGTTCGACAACAGAAAGACATGTCATTTTTTGAACAGCAGGTGAATCACTTGCTGGGGTCAGTGCAGGCACTCGTTCCCATGGTGTCTACCGGGGAGCGTGTTGCAGACCCTGAAACGGCGACGGTGGTGCAGCAACAAGAGATTCAATCGGTGATGCGAGGTGCATTAGAGCATGCCCTGCAATTTGTTTCTGATACTTTGGTCACAAACGAAATAAGCAAGCGAAGTCTCCTGGACACATCTATTTCAGATGCTAGTCAGGTCAGCCTGTTACTCGAAAAGGTGCAACAACTCACGGCAGACCGTGATGCAGTCTTGGGACGTCTGGCGCAGTGTGAGCGACTCATTGATCAGCACAGCCTGACCGTTGTGGAGCGGGTTTTGATGCACGAGGTCTCCGTTGAAGAATCGATTGATGCCATGGAGGCGGCTGAGCAGATTACAACCTTGCGCAGAGAGGTATCGTCACTTGAGGCCGCGCGTACTGCTGCACTCACCGAGGTGAAAGAGTTACGGAACGAATTGAAGGAAGACAGCCAGGGAAAAGAATCAGCTGCGGCACGGCTCGCATTGCTTGAGCGTCACAACACTCGTTTGATGAAAACCATTGAGGAATGCCTGGCTCGTGAGGTGACCCTTGTTGAGCAGGTGCACCAACTTCAACATAATCTGAAAAAATGGGACACCACCGGGCCTTGGGTGGCATCGACGAGTGAGTCGGAGCAAAAGACGGAAATGGAGCGGTTTACACCGCTGATGCAGCAACTAGAGCAACTCTTTGGCGGTATAGGCGAGATGAAGGAGCAGTTATCGCAGTTACAAAGAACCGCATCTTCTCCTTTTTCCTCAGCAGAGGGCGGCGAGGTGGAGACGCAGCTCCTGTGCAAGGGTGTGAGGCAGGTGGCTGACGCATTGCGTGAGGCGCTTCAACACGCGGAGGTATTTCGTCACACCTTTCCAATGGAGGCTGTTGAGGAGGCAACACCGCTGACTCTGGGACCGGCCGCAGAAGCCGTGTTAAACGAGGGCGAACATAACAAGCAAGAGAAGCTTGCGGATCTACAGCGTCAACTGGCAGAGGCGCGTGGCGCGCAAACCTTGGAGCTCGGTGCGCGTGATGCGGAGTTGGCTAGGCTCCGCGGCGAGATCGAGACCCATAGGCAACATGAAGAAACACTGAAGAGGCATGAGAAGGACCTACAGGAGCAGAACGAGGGCCTGCAATTGAAGGTTGGTAGACTGTTGCAAATCAATAAACAGCTTTTGGAGGAGGTGAAGTCTTCTCGAACTGCCTCCGCCACCCTCAGCGTTGCTGAGGCGCCATCGACATAACAAGGGCTGGAGAAAGACGAAAAAAGGTACACCAGCAATTGCACAAAGTGCAAAGGAGACTAAAGAAGCGGTGGAAGGCGCGGTCTCTTGCGGTCTCTTGTGGGGATGGTAGTATGAGGTTTCCTCATCCTTCTGTATTAAGCCTTACTTTTTTCCCTACCTTTTTTGGATGTTGTTGTGTATTTTACTAGAAACTTTTATTCTGCCTCTCTGCAAATATGAATCGTTGTTGCTTTGTCACCTTGCTTCCTCCTCTCGCCTATGCCGTCAGTTGCTTTAGAAGGAGACGTTGCTCACGCACCCCCCGTATTTGCAGCCATGAGTGATCGGAGGCCCAACGTGAAATTTGCCGACATTAACGAGGAGATGCAGGATGACGCCCTGAGCGTGGCCGCAAAAGCTATTAAGGAGCACCAGATGGAGAAGGACATTGCCGCTCACATAAAAAAGGAATTTGATAAACGCCACAGCCCCACATGGCAGTGTATAGCTGGTCGAAACTTTGCTGCCGACGTTGTTCACGAGAGCAAGCACTTTATTTACTTTTACGTTGGTCAGATTTCAATTCTGTTGTGGAAGACAGGCTGAGGCGGCTGATGTAACGCAGATGTAGAGGGGTTATATTGTTTGTATTTTTTTTTTTTTTAAAAAAACTTGTCTGACCACTTTAACTAACGTCATGCGTGGTTTGTTCCCACTTTGCCCCTTTTGTGTGCTGAGTTCAACTCTGAGGGTGCCTTTGACAGCGATGGAAATGATTTGTCTTTTGTCTTCTGTTCTGTTGGGCTTTCGGTTAGAGTGTCTTGTTGTGGGCGTTTTTTTTTTTTTTGCGTTCAGTGATGATCATTACCTTCAGAAGTTCTGTGAAGGTTTAAATGTACTGGAGGGCTTGGAATTGGCTATGGCCCTTATAGCGTTCTGCGTTGTGACACCGTTTCGGAAACTTGTGGAAGGCAGAGGAGTTGCCGCTGGTGTTGCTTCCGACTGCAGTGGCCGTTTGTCATTTTCTTTTTTCTCTGCACTGTTTATCGATAATGTTCAGTGGGTTCAGGGACTGACGACGGGGGATCAGAACTGGAACGCCTCTGCAGATGAAAGGCTATTACTGCTACCTCCACCACCGCTACCACCACAACAACATCTACTACTACTACTAGGAGGGGCGCGCTTTGTCTTCTCTTAACTGTTGTGGGCGCAGCTTCTCCTTTGACGCCCAGCGTCTTCATGTACCGGTGCGCCACGGCCGCAGAGGCGTCTGCATCTTAATGCTTTTTTTTTTCTTGTTAGTGACGTGCTAGTGACAGAAAAAAAATCTCTTGCAGTCCCGTCTCGAATGTCGCTTTGCCTGTTTCTGCTGCAGCGGTGGATAAGTACGGGCCTTTTCTCTACACGGTACTTGTGCTGCTCTGTTTTGTTTTTATTGGGAAATGATTGCAAGTTTGGTTCTTGTTGAATGGGATCAGTTTCCAGGGTAGTGAGTTCAACGCTTTTAGCGGGTGTGCATCGCTGAGCACTGAGGGAGCATCACGACTGCACCCTTGTATGACATCGTTAACTGTGTTACTTCCAGTAAGCCACACAGTGTCATTGCTATTTGTAAATAGATTTGCTTTACTTCTACTGGTGGCGTTTCACTTGGGCGTTATTGAGGACCTTTGCATTTTTTGGTTTCTATTTTTTTTGGTTGTCTGGCTTAATTGCAGGCGCTGCGATAGTTTTTATCTTTGGCGGTATTCTCCACTGGCAGGGCGCGGTGCCCGTCATTTTTTTAATTGTTTTTTTTTTTTTGTTGGCAGACATGTTCGGCGGGGTTGTACGTGGCCGTAGAGTCAAACTTGCCTTTTGTTTCCTTTTCGGTTTTGTCACAGCAGCCTTCAACAGGAACCAGCTGCCAAGTTGCATTTTCTCGTTGATATATATATATATATGGTTTTCATATATTTTTTTTTGCGCGACCTTATGGGAGTTGCTATTATTTTTTATTTTGGTTTTGTTTTCTATCTGCTGATTGTTTTTTTTTTTGTTTGTTGCTGCACATTTGGTGCGGGTGGAGTGTACCCGACCACGAACGAGGCTTCGCTGGGACGTGTGCGTTTTGCCCCGCTTTCTCCCCTTCAACCCCTCCCGTACTTGTGTGGCGGAAAAATAAAATTAAAACAAATAAATGAGAGGAGAATAATAATCCCGCTGTAGCACCTCAAGCTTTGCTCCTTCCACCCCTTTTATCTTTGCGGGATTGCGGTGAAGGAGAGGCTGCTGGATGCTGGTGGGAGTGCGGGAGTATCGACGGGAGGAGGTTCAGCGCATATGTGGGGCACCGGCGGAGGCACTTGTCTCGTACTACACGCTTCTCCGCAACAAAAATGAGGCGGTCATGGCGGATGTCACGGACGTCCGGGCGAGAAGACATATGAATTTTGACTACTACGCGTCAAACACCGGTGACCTCTTTGCGGAGGCGGTGAGGCCCATCATGCGTGCTGTCTTGCCCCCCATTTCTTCTCCACAAGTGGTGGTTGTGGTGGACGGGACGGAGACGACGCGCTTCAATGCGTTGCTTGAGCCGGAGGAGGGGATGCTGACACTCTGCTGGCGGGTGGTGACGAAGACGGCGGAGTTTGCAAACCTGGTCGAGGCGGTCCACCTCGCCGTGGTGGAACTAGACGACAGCAATCATCTGAGGGACCTGACGCCCGCCGTTGCCCTGGGGACGGCGCCGACAATCATAGAGGACGCGGACGAACACTTCACCTCTGTGGAGGACGCGTGCTACGTGGAGCTTCGGACGGAGGCTGATGTTAGGGGGCTGCTGCAGCACGCATGCCGGGTCATAGTGCCGGAACGGCATCAAGTTTTTAGTTTTATTCTCACTTACAAGGAGGCATTAGGGCTACCAAACTCCACTATTCAGTTCCTCGCGCTGTCCGTGTCTGAAATGACACGCGGAATGCAGTCGACGCGGCACTGCATCGCCACAACAGCGTCACTTATAGAGAGCAGGTCCCCGTCTGTGACGTTTCCGGGAACAAAATTTTCCTTTCTACTTAAACCAGCCCTTTTTGGGCAACAACCGGGTTTGTGGATTTCTTGCTTTGCTCCAACTAGTGTCTCATCGTTTCAACGGCGGGAGACGTTTAAGGAGGCCTTTTGCATCGCACACACATTGTCCCGTGTGTACAGCTCACGTGTTGGTCTGGGCATCAGTGAGGCCTGGCAGCGCGTCGGCGATCGAGAAGGACAATATGCGGATGAAATCCATGACGAGCAGGTAGAGATACAACCGCGTGTGGAGGTTCCCCAGCCAAGTTCGTTGGGCTGGTTAGAAAAACCGATGGGATACTCGAAAAAAACTTTTACATCAATACCGCATCAGACTAGATCGGGATCATTGATATCCTCGCCATCCGCGTCATCGTTTACACCAAATGTACCCCAACACCAACACAAGCACCATGAAAACGGTTTGCCCGGTCGAATTGCCGACGACCAGATGTCCCCGGTGGTGGCGGCGCGGGATATGCCGATGGGCCTTCTTGTCACACCCTCAGAACAGAGGACTAAACCACTAGACGACAAGAAAACACAATCGGAAAAACACAGTGAACCCCCAAACAGTGGTAGGCGCTCATTGGGCCGTTCATTGCACGACCGATGCAGTTCAGTGGAGAAGCATCCGTATAATTGTAGTGCACGGTATGAATTTGAGACATACAAGCGCGTAATGGAGCCGGCAATGAAGCAGTTGCGCAAGGATATTCAGCACTATGTGACTTTGCTTGAGGATGCGAGGCGGCACATTTGGCAATTAAGACGTGCCAACAGAGAAGGCGGGGGGGTGGAGCAGTTAAGAGTCTCCCTCTTAGCAGCGGAGCGGGAGCGCAAGGTAGCGGAGGCAGACTTTGCCAAACGTGAAGAGAGGTTTCAAGAAAGAGTGAGTGAACTTGAAGCTCAGTGTGAGGACCTCTCCAAGGAATTACAACAACGGGCAATGTATGCAGTCTCCGAGCGAGTAAAATTACAGCAAGCGAGCGTTGCCACTCAGACACCCAACTCATTGCCTTGGTCCCACTTATCGTCGTCGTTACCGCCGTCTGCGTCGGTAACAGCGACGACGGCGGCGTTGCCAGTGGAGGAGGGGTTAGTTGTCTCCCAGACCTTACAAAAGGACTCTTCAGGGAATGATGTACAGCGTGCAGCTCAGTGGCTTGAACTGGTCAGTTATCATCAGCGGGAATTGGAGGACCATGCGGAGCGTGAACGTTCTTATCGTAACCGCATCCTGCATTTGGAGCAGACGCTTACCGAACGTGCGTCTGAGGCGGAAGAGGCGAAGGCGGAGTTGATGCGACGGGAGCACGAAGTCTCTCTAGAGGCAGTGAGGGGCCAACAAAGAGAACAAGAGCGGAAGATGGAGCGAAACTATTTGGAGGATGTAGAATGCCTACGTGCGGAGGTGGTTGAAGCCAATAAGACAAGTTCAAAGGCGGAACACCATCTTGAAAAGTGCCTTATTGAGTTGGAGCAGGAGCGGAAACAACGAGAGGCATCCGACGCAGAGCTACGACGTCTCCAGGAGAAATTTGCTCAAGGTGTGGAGAGTGGGGCGGCGAAGGAGATGGTACAGATGTTAAAGGATAGCTATGATCGCCATGTTCAACATCTCCAACAGGAGATAGAGGAGCTGCGGGCGTTAACCCGTCACGCGGTTTCAAATGAAAAGACTCCTCTAGAAAAGGCCTCGGCAGCATCTACACCTTTGCAACAGGCACACGGACGTTTAGCTGGAGGTTTGGTTTCTCCCGCAATTGAAGCGGTACAGGAGAAGTCTATGTTTTCTTCTAGGCATTCGCTGTATGATAAAACCCATACCACCAACGGTGGGTCTCCCACCCGATTCCAATCCATCCCCATCCGAACTGAAATAAGGCGATTTGAGGACTTTATGAAGGAGGAACCGTCATACACCTTTCGTTCAACAAAGGTACTTGACCGCACCAAGGCTCTATAAACGAATAGATGAAGTGCTGGAAAAGGAGCCGCGCATGGATAGAGTGTGTGCCACCAACTCTTTTGATGCCCTGCAAACAGACAGATAGACAGACACACATGTGGGCGGGGCTCCCTTCTCTCACACGCACCGGATCTGTGCTGACGTGTTCATCTGTCGTTTGTTTCAAACATAGACATCTGCTTGTTTCTGCCGCGCGGCGTTTACTGGAGGGGGTGCTGTTGTTCTTGTTGAATGGGTAGACGCACAAGAAAAGAGATACTGTTGTCTGTCTCCGCACCCCACATCACTGTGTACCATATACATATACATTCATATATATATACATATATATATTAAAAGGAATGTGATATCTTGCCTGTGACGCCTTTTGGCGACACAATTTTTTAGAGAGCACGTGCAGTTCCTCTGAAGTGTGCCTGAA